GGTTGATGTAGTCGAACGTCTTCTCGTTCCGACCGATCGAGTACCGAACGTACGACACCTCCGAGTTCTGCACACGTTCAGCGTGATGACGTCCCTCGAGCTCTTGATCCAGCAGAGGGTCGAAGGAGTAGATGAGTTTCTTCAGCACGACAGTGTGGTGATGGTGATGGTGATGTGATTCGTGCAGGGCTTCGACTAAGCACCGCGAGAATATGACCGTAGGCGTAAACTGTGGAGGGGGGCGCCGCACACGGCTAAGAGCAATTGATGTGTCTCTTAGGGGCGCCCCCTGTATATAAAGGAGGGAGGGAGAGGAGGCCGGCCTAGGCACGCCCCAAGTGGGGAGGATCCCCACTTGGACTCCTAGTCCAATTCGCCCCCCCTTTCCTTTTACCGGAGGGGGAAAGGGGGAAGGAGATGGAGTAGGAAAAGGAAAGGGGGGCGCCGCCCCCATCCCTTGTACAATTCGGTTTCCCCCTGGTGGGGGGCGCGCCAGCCACTTGTGGGCTGGTGTGCCTCCTTCCTATGGCCTGTATGGCCCATCTCTTCCACCGAGGGGTTCCGGTAACCCCTCCGGTACTCCGGTTTGTACCCGATACACTCTGAAACCCTTCCGCTATCTGAATACTACCTTCCAATATATCGATCTTTACCTCTCGACCATTTCGAGACTCCTCGTCATGTCCGTGATCTCATCCGGGACTCCAAAAAATCTTCTGTCACCAAAACACATAACTCATATAATACATATCAACATCGAACATTAAGTGTGCGGACCCTATGGGTTCGAGAACTATGTAGACATGATCAAGACACGTCTCCGGTCAATAACCAACAGCGGAACCTGGATGCTCATATTGGTTCCCACATATTCTACAAAGATCTTTATCAGTCGAACCGCTATGTCAAGATACGTCATTCCCTTTGTCATCGGTATGTCACTTGCCCGAGATTCGATCGTCGGTATCTTCATACCTAGTTCAATCTCATTACCAGCAAGTCTCTTTACTCGTTCCATAATGCATCATCCCGCAACTAACTCATTAGTCACATTGCTTGCAAGGCTTCATATGATGTGCATTACCGAGAGGGCCCAGAGATACCTCTTCGAT